CAAAACTCCCGATGCCCTTTTTCCTTCATGGCTGCACAACCTTACAAGACTTTTGGTGTTATGGTCCCTGACCTCGCGTCTAGGCCACTTGGGACTCCCAGCCTCTAGCCCTGGCTGTCCCTTGTGATGGGCACTCTGGTCCTTTGACAGGTCTGGCCTTGGCCCTGGCCCCAGCACTGAGGTTATTTAGGATAGGTACAAAACCGCTCTCCCTCACACTCCCATACAGGTCTCCCTTCTCAGGCCTTCCTAACATATCTTGCTCTCTACTCAGGCTGGCCTATGTACAGTCCTTCAGCCCTTATACTGAGCTAGTACACCACCCCTCAATGGACTCCTGGGCCTTACATCCCTTGGATCTCAGGCCTGGACCCTTGCCTCTCCCCTCTGTGGCATAACTGACCAGGTTGTGGGGGCTGAGGCTATATGGCACCCCATACTCACCTCTCACTAGGGAGGCACGTGTGTAGCATTTCCTTAGGACCACCCTGCCACAGGCAGCCCTGCCACACCACCTTACCCTAGCAGGGTGTAGTTTTAGGCCATTCCCCAGGACCAGGAACCTCCTCCATCCCCATAGTTCCAACCCTTAACCTTCAGGTATTCTAGGAGCAGGAGCTCTGGTTGGGCAATGTTCTCCCTCTGACTACCTGCAGCAACTGCCCACTCAGCTATGAGGGTCTGGGGTTATAGTAAAGCTGTTTGGCCTCATCCTCCAGTCCAGGAGCCTCCTTCCAGGCTCATTGAACTGCATTGCACCTGCCGGCTGCTCCACAGCCTGCTCAAATCTATTAAAGTGGCAGACACCAAAGGTACCCTGCCACAGTCTCCCATTTTCAGTAGAGGAGAACTGTGCAGATATTTGGCATAGGTGAGGATTAAGCTCTTGTGATGGGACAGTATTTTTTCACTGCCTGCAAGAATGGCTGAGAGATGAAATAGGATTTGGACCCAGTGATATCATCCATTGGGGAGCCACACCAACATATTTAAAGTCAGCAGTCTTGGTACCCTGTCCTACATCAGGTAAACTGCAAGGGAAATGGGTATCCCAGAGAGCTAGAGCAAGGTGACAGGAAATCAAGAAAGAAGTGGAAGACCCAGTTGGCCAGCCTTTTCTCCCTGGTACCTCACATAAGTTGATGATGGAATTAACACCTTCCCATAGTGTTTAGATTCTGTACAATGACCATTTCTTCATGTAAAATGGTTCTTTGGGGATTTTGGTTGGTCTTAACAGTGTCATTGTTTCCAACACTGAAATTCATCTGGAAATGTTTGATCACATTAATTCAAAATGATAAATGTCAAAGCTGTTCCACTCTAGGCTTGGCAAATATTCTGGAGGAAGGTGTTAATGTCATCATCAACTTTTATTAGTAACATGGAAGGTAGGCAGGTCAGTTCAATCTTCAGGCTTTCCCCTCATCTCAGTTGAAAAAACAGAAAAGAAGAGGATCATCCTACTCTTATCCCACAAGTAAAAAACTTGGTTAAGTCAAATGGTTAGACTACTTTTCCAGGTAGCGATACACCAAAGTCTTGGACCCTCTTCACCCAGAAACAGTGAACAAGCATCTCACACTCCTCAAAAAAGTGCTCTCATCAACAGGGCATGGGGCAGGCACATCCCAGAGCATTTCCCAATTTTACTAAATGCCAAGAGGGGAAGGTATGTGGGGCCAGGAAAGAAACAGCAAGGTAAAGGGTATGTGGTTTAAGGTGATATACACTGATCTGGAAAAGAAAGTATACTGGGTTCCAGCCCTTGATCCCCAGTAACTTTTCTGTACCTTGCATTTACTCAGCTGGGCAGATTTATACTGTAATTTCAAGCTTCCCAAAGTGCTTTTATGACCAGATTACAGATCAGGCAGGACCACACCCTCCACCTCTCTTCTTGAACTTGTCCTTCTAGCTAGGCAAAAGTGAAGGAGTGATGGGACTAGAAGAACAGCAGACAAAAGCAGTGTTACTGGGCATGTCTACATGAGATGCTAACTGTGCAATAGCATACTGGGCAAAAAAGAGGTCCTAATACGCTACTGTGCAGTAGTATTAGGTTACTGCAGTTAGCATCAATAAAAAAACCATGTGTTGTTGCTACTGCACAGTAGCATGAGTTACTGCACATTGATTTAGTACTTGGTTATCCGAGCACTAAACTTAATATGCAGTAACTATGGCACATTAATGAACATGTAGATGCACCTGCTGTGTTGTTAGGCTACAGTCATTTCACCTCCCTGAATATTCATTAAGAACTGCAACCCATTCAGTGGTCTAGGAGGAACATTCATAGTTTCTGAAAGTGTCACTTTATTAACATCCCTTTGCTTAGATACAACCCCCCCCCCAAAAAAAAACTACCACAATGACTGAGTTCAATCACTGAATTGTTATCAGTATTTTTCTTGTGATATAACGTGAAGTAAATTCAATGTTTTATTACATTAATTAATATATAGATCATACTCGTAATATATTTACTTTTGCAACCACATCCATTCTTGTGTCAGATTGTTAGGAAAAGGAATTTCCAGGCTACTTGTTCTTCTCAGGGAGAAATAATAGTATAGTGGCCCTCATCAGCATTTACTTATAAAACATGCTAAGATGTTGTTTGGGGCACCTGGGAGACAGAATTTTGTGGATTCTGGTTAAAAAAAAATTCTCCACTATTTTAATTCCTAAGTCTTAAGAAACAAATAGATGTGTGAAGGAAAGGTTTGAACAAGCTTATCCCATAGCTGTTAGGTAAAAGTATAGCTTCTTAAAATGCCCAGCCATCAAGCACATCTTTATCCAATTGGACTGCATAATTTTCATCCTCAAATACAACAAAACTGTTGCAGCATCCTTCAGTTTACTCTCCAAAATTTGGAAGCAGTTCCAGCTTATTGCAGATGATCATAGAGGTTTCTAAGATGCATGTAGACAAAGGCATGGCTGGGATGATCTAGTTGGGTATGGTCCTACTTTGAGCACGGAGTGGACTATATGACCTCCTGATGTCCTTTCCAATCATAATGTTCTATGATTCTTTGATGAGGGATTTCCCATTAAATCTTTTTTTTTTTTTTCAGAAAAAGCTGCACTTTCCTCAAAGGGTTTTAAGGAAATCTTGCTTTCTCTGATTCTTTATTTGTTAATGTTCTATTAAATAAATAAAAATAACATATTTTATTTCAGTTCTGTTTGACACAATTTATTTTTTAATGTCTTATTAAAGGGAAATAAAATATTTAAGTGGAATCAGTTTGACATTAAGCTACATCTCCTTATGGCATAGCAGTGCCTCCTGAGAGTTGTAATCCTGTTATCCTTTTCCCCATTTTGGGTATACCTACACATTGCCATACAGTGACATTGTTACTACACCATGCTTTAATACTTCCTTTTGGAAATACTAAAGCATGGCACAGTAACTGTCTGTCCTGTGCCATAAGCATGGCGCACAGTTATTTTTAGCAGCTACAGTTTTTGGTCATCTATGTGGGTTTTTAGCACTTACCCAGGGTTTTTATTTCTGGCTGCAAATGTTTAAGCTGCACACATAGATAACTATGTACATGTACAGACTGGGTGTGCACACCTTTTGTGGAAATTCTGTGGCATGTAAGGCCCTAAAAATGTAGTCACGAAAATGGATGACAGAAGATGGAGAGTGCGCTCACCTGGGAAGCTGGAGGTTTAGGTCCTAGGCCCCTTTTCCAGTGTCATGTTGACCATGGCTCTTTCCTATTTCATAGCACAATCTTCAACCACCTCATCTTAGGTCAGGCATTTCCAGTTGCCTCTCTGGTATAGCTTTTGAAGCTTTTCCTCCAGGAAGCAATGAGAGGGATGTATAGGGGGTATGTGGGGACAGGAAGAAGAAATCAAATCGGTGATTTGGCTGCTGGCCTGAATGGGAAGTGGTTCCCATGTATCTTCTGACTGAGGCAGAAGCTTCCCCCCAACATTGCCTTCAATCCACTTTCTTCCAATGACTCATAAAGTGAGTGCCTCCACCTTAAAAGGAGTGCCAGGGAAGTGTATCAATACTATGTGGCATGTGCCATGATGGTTAGCACACTGTGTTGGGCAGTCAGAGAAACAGGTCAAGCTCCCATCTAGGCAGGAGGGCCTAGAACCCGAGTCTCTAGCTTTCAAAGCAAGTCACAGAACTCATTTAAAACATGCACTTTAATGCACAGTAGCCTATTCTACTGTGCATTAAACAGGCATAAAATAATGTGCCAATACACTAGTGCACATTAGAACAGGATACTGTGCGTTAAGCATCACCTAAAAAGCCTGTTTGTACTACTGCACATTAGCGCAGCTGAATGTATATTTATTTAGTGTCTCATATTGGTGGTACTAAATTTAATTCACATTAGGAAAAGTGCATTAATAACCCTGAGATACTCAGGTTTTATGGGCAAAAGACAGAATGACCCCTTCTCCATTTTATTAACAATGTGCATGCCCATTCTATGCACAAAGCAATTGTCTATGGGTTTAGGCTTATATGGCCAGCAATAGAATTCCTACCTGTGCATAAGTGCCCCAAATACTATGTAGATGACTTAAAAATGGCCAGATAGATGACCACAAAGGAATAAAATGTCCCCCCTTTAGTGTCATAAATTGCTAAGAGGAGGTTCGGAAATGGATTACTATTCTGTCTCCCCTCTTGGCTCTCCATCTGCCCTTTAACACACCTTTCTCTGTGGCACCTGGATTAAGGAGAGGCAGGAGAGCTGAGAACTTGGAGGCAGTGACTTAAGTATCCCACCCAAATAGCCTACCTGGAGACTTCTTGTGCAATCTTTGACATGCTCTTTGCATGCAAGCAGCCAATTAGATTAAACATTCCACTTCATCACTTGAATATTTAATAACCGTCCTGTGGAAAATGTTGAGGTTTTAACCATGTATTCCAATTTTCACTAATTACCCTTTCCCCCTCTCCCAATTCAACCTATCAGTTGAATTCATTGGGAAATTGTTTTCTAATGTAATATCTTTTTCAGGGCATCTTTGACCACCTTGTTTCTGAGGCTGTAGATCAGGGGATTAAGCATCGGGATTACCAGGGTATAGAACACAGCTAAGAGTTTGTCCTGGTCTGCTGACTTGCTAGTTGTAGGTCGTACATACATAAAGAACAGTGTCCCATACAACATGGAGACAGTTGTCAGATGGGAGGCACATGTGGAGAAAGCGTTGTGCCTGCCCTTGGCAGAGCGGATCTGCAGGATGGCAAAGATAATACACAGATAGGATACAAAAATGATTAGAACAGTACTTAATGCAGCTACAGCAGCAAAGACAAAATGGACCATGCCACGGAAGTGAGAATGAGAGCAGGAGAGTTTCTGGAGTGGAGGGATGTCACAGAAAAAGTGATTGATGACATTAGGGCCACAAAAAGACACACTAAACAAAGAACCTGTGTGCACAATGGCACAGGCACAAGCACAGGAATATGACCCAATCACAAGGTGAAAACAGACTTTCCTGGACATAAGGAGTGTATAAAGTAGTGGTCTGCATATAGCTATGAATCGATCATATGCCATCACAGCCAGAATCAAAACCTCAGTATTGATACAGATTGAGTGAAAGAGGAATTGTGCAATGCAGCCAGTGAATGAGATTACTTTTCTTGCAGCTAAGAAATTCATTAGTGTTTTAGGTGCAATAACAGTAGAATAAGTGAGATCTACAAAGGACAGGTTATGAAGGAAAAAATACATGGGGGTGTGTAGCCGAGACTCAATGCTGATGAGTGTGATCATGCCAAGGTTTGCTACCAGGCTTACAGTATAGATCCCCAAAATCATCACAAAAAGGAGGATTTGTATGTGGTGGTTGTCTGTGAAACCAAGGAGGATGAACTCTGTCACTTCAGTCAGATTTCCCTTCACCATTTATTTCAGATGTCCTCTGTGCTACTGAGGCAGAAAAGGGAAAACCAACTCAAACAGAGACAGAAAAGATATTTTAATATATTTTAAAATAGAACTTTTGAAGAGATGGCAAATGGGAGTGGAGCCTTGTAATGCAATTACAATTTTGCATAACCAAACCAAACTATCATACTTTGTTCCACGACACTTGGAACTTTAAACTTCTCTTAATAAAGAATGCATGTATATCTATGCATGTATGTGTAAATGACCTCCAAGTTCTGTAATTTTGAAAGGAAATAGATGACAAAGTCAAATAAAAATACAGACAACTAAAGGTAAAACTCATTTTCAGACCTGGAAAGCACTCTCAACTGCAAATGTAACTTTATTAATATGATATGATATTACTAGTGACTTTGTCTCTGAAAGGGCTGAAAGTGTACTGGACCTCTAACACACTTGTATAATTGAAAATATCACATAGAAAACACACTTTTTCAGTACGACAAGTCTATCTAAACCACAAACTTTGGAGAAGTTACCTGATTAAAATGACTAAACACAACCGTGGTTCTTGAGATTACCAAGGCAATATTTTTAAAGAGGAAGCAATCGTGAACAGAGGAGGTATAGAAAAAAAAGACAATAAATTAAAAATAGAGTTGTATGAAACTATGTCCAAGACCCTAATTCCTCCTCTAGCTTGTCACAAAAAAGAAGAACTTGAGAAATTGCATGCAGCAAGCATGCTTGGACAATATTGCATTTCATGGGTAAAGGCTCCTTTCAGCAGTGATACAACTGTCTCTTTCAGCAGGATTACTGTGGTACCTGATTATCCTTCATTTTCTCCATTAGCCCATCTCATCTATCTGGAGAAAGACAAGAAAATAGAAATAACTATGTACCCTTTTTTCAAAGCAGAATTATTAAACTGATTTTTTAAGGAACGTCTATGTGATATGCACCTGGCACCACAAGATGTCTTGAAGGTAGCAAGTGAAGTCTAAACAGTATGCAGTGAGAACAGCTGCTTGAAATCCAAGTACATACAGAGGTACCTGTTCTTCACCTTCAAACTAGAGATATTGTCTGAAAAACAGAAGCAATGTTTACCTGCACTAAAATGTCACTGTACACCCACCCTGAAACTGAGAGACCCACTGTGAAGCTGAAAATAGTGTGCTTGGGAAGCCAGAGCTGCCCCTGCTATATCACACCATCTTTGCAGATAAAGAAAGAATTTCTCTCTTCATGGATTTTGATCAGGACTACTAGCAGAAAATCTGATTTCTGAAATTTAAAATGAAAATATTTCAACTAAAAATAAATGTTAAAATGTTAATAAATGTTAAAAACCAAACATTCTCCTTAAAATGTGAGATTCCTGCAGTATTTTTATTGTTGGTGTTTTTACTATTATGACTATTTTGTATCTTTACTGCCCAAGATGTTAAGCCATGACAGTCACTGGAAGGGATATAACTTAAATCAAGGTTTAGGATCTTACCTAAGTTTAGAACATTACTATCCTTATAATTTTTTTTTTAAGAGTGCTCATTAATGTTGCTTTCTCAAGGACTCATAATTTTTTAATAAAGGCAATGTTTGATTTACCCAGTGATACAAATGCACTACAAACAATTCTTATTACTCTTTCTTATTACAGAGTCTTTTCAATTCCTTCTGTACCTGATGATATTTGTCAAACCTTTTTTAAGTTTTCAACGGAACGCTTTACATAAGCAAACTATATCTTCTTTACAAGGATAAATTGTGACCTACAACAAGTAAATCTGAGCAAAATTTTTACTTCCTTATTCTATGCAGCATTGTACAAACCATGATGAAGACAATGATGATGCCTGAAAAGCATTGGTAGTAGAGGAAATCAGTAAAATTCACTTAGTTGGATCGTGGGTCGATTTAACTTAGCACAGCTCTATTAATTTTGATGGAACTTGATCAGTTGAAATAAACTGGGCATATCACATGTGCATTAATGTGCTGTAATTACAGTGCTTTAAGTTTAATACCTGTAATATAAATGACGTAATGTGCCATAATCAGCACTATTGTGCAGTAGCACAGGCACAATTTTTTTCATGATTTTAGTGCTCAGTAAACTAATTTTATCATGCATTAGTGCATTAACACGTCTTTCACCATGATGCGCTAATGTGCAGTAGAATTAGTGTACTGCATTTCTAGCATCTTGTGTAGATATGCCCACTGAGGATCTAGTTCATAAGTCTTCTGGAACAACTGCACTAGGCACTAAGGATATTTTTTTTATCTGCTTTCATTTACTACTACAATTTATTCAGTGAAAGAAAACCAAAATGATATTTTTTCAGTAAAAAAATTAACATTTTGAACTACATTTTTTTTTCTAGTAGAAGGATATTATATTGGAAATTTTGTTAGATTTGAAAGCAAGTTCATTATTTTTAACTTACCTTCATCTGTGTTCAATAATGTTAATATGTCTGTTGGAAGTAAGTCCTCTTTTTAGCATGAGCTGAACTGATGTGAAGTCGAATTAGCTGTGTGGCATATGTACTTAGTCTCTCAGCATACCTACCAAGAGAAATACATGCCAAGTCAGGGTAAAGGCAGACAAAGTTCTTTGGGTGAATCTGATATTTTTTATTAGACCAACTTAAATAGTTGGAAACATCTTTCTTAGCAAGCTTTCAGGTATAAAAAGCCTTCATCAGGCTGTGGAAGCCTCTGCAGTTGGTCTGTGCTCTTCCTGGATGGGATTAATAGTAAAGAAGCCAGAGGCTGGGTTGGTATGTATGCAGGACAGGCAGTCAGTAAAGATGTAAATTGAGGAGTCAGTGGGTGAGAGACAGGTGGGTGGAGAGAGTGGGGATGAATGTAGCAGGTAAATAGTGGAGAGGTACCTGAGGAGTCAGATGTCAGGCAGGTTATAATGTGTCATAAATCCAATGTCTATATTTAGCCCATGGTTTCTATCAGGTCAGGGTAAAGGAGTTAATGAAAATGCCCACATGGTCTTTAGGGAGCATGAAGTAATTGGATGCCAAATGTTGTTAATTTTGGAAGCTGAAATGTTACTGCTTCTTCCTCTTTTGTCCTTCCTAACCTTTTATGTAGTCCAAAAATGAGAACATGTCTATAACTAAAAGCAATCCCAATATCCTCATGAAGATTATTCATGGCCATTTATTTAATAAAAGATTTCTTTCAGTTATTTTTATATTTAAATAATTTTAATAGATTTACTTTTCAAATAAGTAGTGTGACAGCCCAATACTGGAAACTTTTCATCCAGGTTCCAGATAGAATAGAACAGATTGCACATGAAGCCAGGACTGGTGTGCATTGTAAGGGCTCTGCTGAAGTCTGCATTTGGAAGCACAAGGATAGCTGGGAGGGAGGACTGAATGGCATAGAAAGAAAAGAGACATGGGGAGCTCAGAACTAGATGAATCAAAGATTCTGAGTGAAACTGCAGAGCACTGAGTTGAGATACAGAAGCTATCACGAAGCTGCCTCTCCATTGAATTTTAAATGTAAAGTGCATGTGGTGGGGAGGAAATCAATGTGAGGGAAGGAGGCAAGTGGTCATGGCCAGAACTGTGGTACCTTCTCCCTTCTGACAGTATTTATCCCAGGTCACATTCTCCATGACTTATTTGTTCCCACATATCTTCCCATTGTAACTGCCCAGTAGACCAGCTTCAGGAGTACAACTGGAGGATACTCTGGGCAGAGTTACATCTGCATGAACCCAGCTGAGGCTGGCGGTGATCCTGAGCTGCTGCCCTTCCTGGCAACTGGTGCCCCTTCCCTGGGTACAGCTGCAAGGCTTGAAGAGCCAGGAGAAAGAGGCTGTGAGGGTTTGTACCACTTCTGAGATAAGATGCTCAGTACCAGGGGACCTTGTGCTGCCCAGCCTCAGATCAGGGGTCATGCATTCAAGAGTACCCACAGACCATGGTAAGTTGACTGGGCAGACCCTGGGCCAGGCAGGCACCAGCTGAGCCCCTGATTCCTGTGCCCCATTCCCAAGCTAGGACATGCCTGAGCCTGGCAGCACCTGCTGCCATGGCTCCAGACCCACTCTTCTCCCTCTTTCCTGATCTGCTGCCAAGCCCACAGCACCTGGGCTCAAGGGGCACAAGGCATCCACATGACTGGGATGTGGAGCTGCTGGTGCTCCTACCCTCCCTGCCAGCCTCACACCACAGTGGCACTGTGCCCTGACCATGCCCCTGATAAGAGTGTCCCAGCAACAGCACAAGAAGCTGTTTTTATGGACTGTGGGGTACCCAACCTACTACACCCTTCTGTGGCTGATACCCATGGTACCCTAGGGACACCTGCACACCTGGCATAGGACCCTGAGCTTCAACTGTGGAATGGGCAAATCTGCCCTTTCCCACAGACTCTGTCACTGCCTGGAGGCCTACCTGTGTCTGTGCTACACATCACTGCCCCCCACAGATAAAGAGGATATTGCCATTATCATTTGCACATCTCTTGGCATGTGAGAGGCCCATGCCTGCCTAGCTGTGGGGGCACAGGCTGTTCAATAAAGTTTTGAACCTGGCTCCCTGCTTGTTGGGGGGAGGAGCTGGGGGGAACTCAGGGGCCAAGGGAATGCAGCTGTGCCAGTCAGGGAGCGGGGCCTAGGGCAGGAGCCAGGAAAGGGAGGACTTTTCCCCCAGTGTGGGGCTTACCACGTAGGCAAGTCTGGCATGCCCCATGGTCTGAGTCAGTCCCTACTGGTGGTGAGGGTGTGCAGCTCCCAGCAGTGTCTTGGGTCACAGGGGCATGGCACACAGCTGCCTGGACAGTGACGTCCTCCCAAGAGGAGCTGCAGCTGGTGGCAGTCAGTAGTGCCATGGTTGGTTTGGCTTCATGGGTGGGGTTGAGCCTATGGAGTTGGAGGGCCTGCTGCTGGCCTGGCCTCCCAGAGCTTCTGGGTGATACTGGGGGTGGGGAGCTTGGTGGGACGGACTCCCAGGAGCACGATGGGCCCTCCC